TTGGCCGCCATTCCTTCCAGTTCTCTGCTGCCACTGACTGGAACGAACTGCAAAAATCTCTGAAGCTGGAGACTCTTATCTCCCTCACTAACTTTAAGCATCAGTTGTCAGAGCACCTTACCGATCACTGCACCTGTACACAGCCCTTCTGAAATTAGCCCGCCCAACTACCTCATCCCTATATTGTTATTTATTTTGCTCATTTGTACCCCAGTATCTCTATTTGCACATCATCTCTTGCACATCTATCATTCCAGTGTTAATACTAATTGTAATTATTTTGCACTATGGCCTATTTATTGCCTTACCTCCATAACTTGCTACATTTGCACACACTGTATATATATTTTCTGTTGTATTTTGGACTTTGTTTTACCCCATATGTAACTCTGTGTTGTTGTTTTTATCGCACTGCTTTGCTTTATCTTGGCCAGGTCGCAGTTGTAAATGAGAACTTGTTCTCAACTGGCTTACCTGGTTAAATAAAGGTGAAATAAAAATTTATTAAAAAATGTAACGTTATTGATCTGTATGTTTCCCTAGCTAATTCCCTACTTTTCACACTGACATGGTATAAACAGCTCTACAGGCTTCACTATCATGGTGCACAGTCAGTACACAACACTATGCTCATCATGTCTTAGCAGGATGATGGTGACAGGTGTCCCTGCAGGGTCAGACAGCCAGGGAAGACCAGTCTACAGAGCTCAGGTGAATTATGTAGTATATTACAACAATCAGTGACTGGATACAAAGTTCCTTCTTGAGTTGATGGGTAGGCTACATTCTGGGATCTGGGAATAATGGAAATTTCAATTGTTGAACCATTGATTCTATTCTTGAATAATATAATGTATAAATGTACACCAAGGTCATTCTTTGTCATGCCTCACCTGAGCAGGATCAGATGGTGACCTGGGTCTCATCAGGGACAGGAAGCAAGGGAAGACGCAGAGGTGAACTTTTGCTGATACAACATTTTAATGTCTCTGTGCAGCAAACACTGGACAAGCAACAAGCTTCAAAGATCGAAACTATTTTAAGGCAGTCTGACAAACCTTGATTTCCAAACTGTATCAAACAAATATCTGAGGAAGATCTGGGCGACGCTATTGATGATGATGAATGGATACAGATATGTTAGAATGCCCAGTCATGTTCATATAATATCACACGAGAATGACTGCAGTTTAAGACCACCCATAGAGCGTACTATATGCCAGTGAAACTGAATATCACGCACTCAGAAATGTAATTCTTCTGCTGGAGGTGTAAAACATAAAAGGGGACATATTTGCCTATGTTATGGTCTTGTGAAGGCTGGCTGAAGTCTGGCAAAGAGTATATTATTTTATCTCAGCATGTCTACAGATTCTCCCTTCTCCCTGTTTTTGTTTGCTTGGAAATGTTGATACTGAAGACTGTTATCAAGTTAAAAGAGCTCTACAGTACTATTAGGCTTATGATATGAATTACAGTGCATTCTGGAACTATTCAGACCACTTTCTCCACATTGTTACATTACAGCCTTATTCTAAATTGATTTTCCCCTCAATCTACACACAATACCCCATAATGACAAAGCAAAAACAGGTTTAGAAATTGTTTCAAATGTATTAAAAATGAAAAATCATATTTACAGTGGTGTGAAATAGTGTTTGCCCCCTTCCTGATTTCGTATTTGTTTGCATGTTTGTCACACTTAAATGTTTCAGATCAAACAAATTTAAATATTAGTCAAAGATAACACAAGCAAACACAAAATGCAGTTTTGAAATGAAGGTTGTTATTATTAAGGGAAAACAAAATCCAAACCCACATGGCCCTGTGTGAAAAAGTGATTGCCCCCTACAACCTAATAACTGGTTGGGCCACCCTTAGCAGCAACAACTGCAATCAAGCGTTTGCGATAACTTGCAATGAGCGCTGTGGAGGAATTTTGGCCCACTCATCTTTGCAGAATTGTTGTAATTCAGCCACATTGGAGGGTTTCGAGCATTAACTGCCTTTTTTACATTTACATTTAAGTCATTTAGCAGACGCTCTTATCCAGAGCGACTTACAGTTAGTGAACAATTTTTTTTATACTGCCCCCCCGTGGGAAATCAAACCCACAACCCTGGCGTTGCAAACGCCATGCTCTATCAACTGAGCTACATCCCTGGCGGCCATTCCCTCCCCTACCCTGGACGACGCTGGGCCAATTGTGAGTCTCCTGGTCGCGGCCGGCTGCAACAGAGCCTGGATTCGAACCAGGATCTCTAGTGGCACAGTTAGCACTGCGATGCAGTGCCTTAGACCACTGCGCCACTCAGGAGTGACTTTTTAAGGTCATGCCACAGCATCTCAATAGGATTCAGGTCAGGACTTTGACTAGGCCACTCTAAAGTCTTCATTTTGTTTTTCTTCAGCCATTCAGAAGTGGACTTGCTGGTGTGTTTTGGATCATTGTCCTGCTGCAGAACCCAAGTTTGCTTCAGCTTGAGGTCACGAACGGATGGCCGGACATTCTCCTTCATGATTTTTTGGTAGACAGCAGAATTCATGGTTCTATTTATCACAGCAAGTCTTCCAGGTCCTGAAGCAGCAAAACAGGCCCAGACCATCACACTACCACCACCATATTTTACTGTTGGTATGATGTTCTTTTTCTGAAATGCGGTGTTACTTTTACGCCAGATGTAATGGGACACACACCTTCCAAAAAGTTCAACTTTTGTCTCGTCAGTCCACAGAGTATTCTCCCAAAGGTCTTGGGGATCATCAAGATGTTTTCTGGCAAAAATGAGACGAGCCTTAATGTTCTTTTTACTCAGCAGTGGTTTTCGTCTTGGAACTCTGCCATGCAGGCCATTTTTGCCCAGTCTCTTTCTTATGGTGGAGTCATGAACACTGACCTTAACTGAGGCAAGAGAGGCCTGCAGCTCTTTGGATGTTTTTGTGGGGTCTTTTGTAACCTCTTGGATGAGTCGTCGCTGCGCTCTTGGGTAATTTTGGTCGGCCGGCCACTCCTGGGAAGGTTCACCACTGTTCCATGTTTTCGCCATTTGTGGATAATGGCTCTCAATGTGGTTCGCTGGAGTCCCAAAGCTTTAGAAATGGCTTTATAACCTTTTCCAGACTGATGGATCTCAATTACTTTCTTTCTCATTTGTTCCTGAATTTCTTTGGATCTCGGCATGATGTCTAGCTTGTGAGGATCTTTGGTCTACTTCACTTTGTCAGGCAGGTCCTATTTAAGTGATTCCTTGATTGAGAACAGGTGTGGCAGTAATCAGGCCTGGGTGTGGCTAGAGGAATTGAACTCAGGTGTGATAAACCACAGTTGAGTTGTGTTATAACGGGGGGGGGGGGAACACTTTTTCACACAGGGCCATGTAGGTTTGGATTTTGTTTTCCCTTAATAATAGCAACCTTCATTTCAAAACTGCATTTTGTGTTTACTTGTGTTATCTTTGACTAATATTTAAATTTGTTTGATGATCTGAAACATTTAAGTGTGACAAACATGCAAACAAATAACAAATCAGGCAGGGGGCAAACACTTTTTTCACACCACTGTACATAAGAATTCAGACCCTTTACTCAGTACTTTTTTGAAGCACCTTTGGCAGCGATTACAGCCTTGAGTCTTCTTGGGTATGACGCTACAAGCTTGGCACACCTGTATTTGGGAGTTTCTCCCATTCTTCTCTGCAGATCCTCCCAAGCTATCAGGTTGGATGGGGGCCATCGCTGCACAACTATTTCCAGGTCTTTCCAGAGATGTTCGATCGGGTTCAAGTCCGGGCTCTGGCTGGGCCACTCAGAGACTTGTCCAGAAGCCACTCCTGCATTTTCTTGGCTGTGTGCTTAGGGTTGTTGTCCTGTTGGAAGGTGAACCTTCACCCCAGTCTGAGGTCCTGAGCACTCTGGAGCAGGTTTTTAAATCAATAATCTCTATGTACTTTGATCCGTTCATCTTTCCCTCAACCCTGACTAGTCTCCCAGTCCCTGCCGCTGAAAAACATCCCCACAGCATGATGCTGCCACCACCATGCTTGACCGTAAGGATGGTATTGGCCAGGTGATGAGCAGTGACTGGTTTTCTCCAGACGTGACGCTTGGCATTCAGGCCAAAGAGTTCAATCTTGGTTTTATCAGACCAGAGAATCTTGCAAAACAGGCACCCCCCCCCCACAAAAAAAGGTTATGGTTTTGGTTTTTATAGCTAGAAAGGTGGATGGAGTTGGAACTTAACTAACAAAATTACAGTTAAGGAAAATGTACACAATCCATTATAAACTCATCTATATCATTTATTATACAAGAGACAAAATGCACAAATTCTACAGTCATACACTAGAAATGAATATGAATACGACTTTTAGATCTCGAAAACGTCTATCATACATGTCAGATTTCAATACTGGCCGATGTCATAACGCGGGAGGTTGTCTTCTCTCGAATGAGAAATTGATCATATTTTTTGCGATATTCCTACCTCTAGAAATGTGTAATTTAACAGAGGGTCTAACACATTTATTATATTTGTGCATTGCATGGTGCCGTTGCGAATGTCAGACCACATCGACCTGAAGGTTGAACGTGTTGAGATTGTAGATTCCTAAATAGCTAGCCAACCAGCCCATAGAAAGAACATTGGATTATGGGTTTTGTAGTCGACTTCAACTGCAACAGATTTCAGCAACGATGTTGCTACCAACCTTATTATAAACGACAAAATTAAACATTTGTTCACAAAAAATATAGTTCTCACATAGTGTTATGTAACACTACATTATAGGAATGAGTGGATTTTTTCTTTAGACAATTATTTATCATATATCATGAATAAATTCAGGTTATTGATAGTTTCTACTATTCTCAGAAATTCCGTGACCCGGAAGTACTATTTTAGTGTTACTGACGAGACGCTGATTCAATCTGGATTCATCAGTCTTCACAGGTACCGCCAATAATGATAACATATCCCACCTTCTATCCATTTCATCCCCAAAATGTCTAAACTACAGCTGCTTAATGTGCTTCTTAAAGAAAAATGTACCTCCGTTCCTTTGGAGATATCCGTGGCAGTCGAAAAAACGATATCTGAGTTTCAAGAAGAAATCTCTCGTTTGAAGCAGGCGAATGCACGTCTACGAAAACTGCTGGATTTGGTTTTTAAACCAGAGATAAAGTTGCATAGATTAGCAGGTTTGTGACTAGGTCTTTCTATTTGTCATTCATTATACATTGTAGCCTAATTGTCGTCATTTACATTTTAAATATAGATCTTAAATGACCGCGTTATTCATGAATTTGATGATATTTTGAAGCCTATTCAAAACAGTGTGGTACTGGATACCGGAAGTAAAGAAGAAATGGCAGTCACTGTCCCTATTTCTAGTGGCAGTCACTAGACCTATTTCTTGTCTCTTTTCAGCATTTACATTTTAATCAAATGTCATCCTTTCTCATTCCCTCCAGTCCTCCAGCAGCTCACTCTCACTGAAGAGGTTGTTAACCCAGAGCAGCAGCACTGTGAGCAGGAATGGAGCCCCGGTCTGGGGCCAGTGGAGTCTGATGCCGAAGAGTCTATATGGGACTCTTTCAACATCATAACTGAAGAGAACCAAACAGAATCTGATGGCGAGAGCTACGGTGAGTCCGAATCAACCAGTGATTATGAGCCCCCCTCTGAAGTAAATGCAGACAGTGACAACAGTGGAAGTCATAATGGAAAAGTGGATGGAGTGGAGAAGAGAGTATCACTGTCAGGGTTAAAGCCTCTTAATTCAAAGAGAGGACGAGGACGGCCAAGGAAAGAAACCAGTGAGTTGCCTGATCTGATATGTGACGTGTGCGGAAAATGCTTGGCGAATGTACGTAGCCTGAAAAGACATCGGCAAAGCCGGCACAGTAAAGACAGACCATACATGTGTGACACATGTGGACAATGTTTTGCCATGAACTGCTCCCTGAGGAGGCACATGAAGATTCACACGGAGGAGAGACAACATGGCTGCACCGAATGTGACAAACGTTTTTTTCACGAGAAAAGCCTGAGAAATCATATGGAGACGCATAAAGGGCTAGTTTTTAAATGTGATTTTTGTGGAAAATGTGTGACGACAAAAGCGAGTCTGAAACTGCATCGGCGAATTCACACTGGGGAGAAATCACATCCGTGCAAAGAATGTGACAAAGCCTTCTACCGCGAGTCAGACTTGATAAAGCATACGAGGACTCACACTGGGGAGAAACCATTTCGGTGCAAAGAATGTGGCAGATGCTTCGTTGAGAAGGGAAGCCTGACAAAGCATATGATGACTCACACAGAGGAGAAACCGCATCGCTGCGACAAATGTGGCAGATGCTTCGGTCTGAAGGGAAACTTGACAGTGCATATGAGAACTCACACAGGGGAGGGGGTTCAATGTCATCTGTGTGGAACTCACCTGAAATTAGCATCAAGCCTCAAAAGACATCTGCGAACTCACAGAAGGAATATTCACAATAACGCACTCTCCACTGGTTCCCAGTTGAAGAGTGCATCCTCTTCAAGATCCTGGTGTTTGCCTACGGAGCAACAAGGGGAACTGCCCCTCCCTACCTTCAGGCTATGCTCAAACCCTACACCCCAATCCGAGCACTCCGTTCTGCCACCTCTGGTCTCTTGGCCCCCTCATCCCTACGAGGGGCCAGGTGCCACTCATACCAGTCAAAGCTCTTCTCTTCCCTGGCACCCAAATGGTGGATCAAGCTTCCCCCAAATGAAAACATCTGAAAACCTACCTCTTCACTAAGTATCTTGATTAAATCCCACAATAACGAACAAACACTTGCACTTGTCTTTTCTACATTTACATTTTACATTTACGTCATTTAGCAGACGCTCTTATCCAGAGCGACTTACAAATTGGTGCATTCACCTTATAGCCAGTGGGATAACCACTTTACAAAGGTTTTTTTTTTTTGGGGGGGGGGGTGTGGGGGGGTTAGAAGGATTACTTTATCCTATCCCAGGTGTTCCTTAAAGAGGTGGGGTTTCAAGTGACTCCGGAAGGTGGTAAGAGACTCCGCTGTCCTGGCGTCGTGAGGGAGCTTGTTCCACCATTGGGGTGCCAGAGCAGCGAACAGTTTTGACTGGGCTGAGCGGGAACTGTGCTTCAGCAGAGGTAGGGGAGCCAGCAGGCCAGAGGTGGATGAACGCAATGCCCTCGTTTGGGTTTAGGGACTGATCAGAGCCTGAAGGTACGGAGGTGCCGTTCCCCTCACAGCTCCGTAGGCAAGCACCATGGTCTTGTAGCAGATGCGAGCTTCAACTAGCACTGACTTAGCTGATAACTACTTTGAGGTCAAATGTACTTACTAAGACTGATATGTGGTTGTCTCACCTAGCTGTCTTAAAGCTATAATCGGCAGTTGAAACAATAACAAAGTGTCACCCTACCTCTGTTTTGGTAAATTCATAGACAGAGCTATGGATGCAAGTTTTAACCAAGTTGAGGCTATACAGTGTTTATTTATATTTACGTTGTTTACAAACATTGGAGTAAAACAAGCTTATATTTTGGGTTCTGATGGGGTACGACAGTTGAACTAAGCTCATGAGGCATTTATAAGTTATATTCTTCAAGAATCAATGGGTATTTATAAATAATTAATACATCCAAAAATGGATGTAGCAACTAAGGACTTTAGCTTTAAGTCGAATGCACTAACTGTAAGTCACTCTGGATAAGAGCGTCTGCTAAATGACTAAAATGTTCATGTCTGAGAACACGTAAACAATGCCCTTTGTGTAAAATGTGTTTGTTCGAAGATAGAGACAATACCAAGAGGACATACCCATCAGGTAGGTCACTGCTCTTGGTTAAAAGAACATTCTGCAATCTTGGAATCTGTTCAATGGTCATTTGAATTAATATAGCCTACCCATTGATTTCTGACAAATATGTAACTTTGTAATGCATCATGAGCTAAGCACAACTGCAAGCACAACCCTATCATAACTCAAAATATAAGATTATATTACTATGTTGTTTACTAACAACAAGGATGTAAACAAACAATGAATATCTTCAAAATATGTTTAAAACTATCATGTGGATGTTAGGACTGTCAGTCCTTACATCTAGAGTGCTGTCTATGAATTTAAGAGGGATACATTTCCCTAGCCCTCCTCAGTTGTTTGCCAAAACAATTGGTGGGGACCCCATTGTGGTTTTTTGAATCGTGGGTTTTTAAGGTGGGTATGAATATATATTCATAAACATGCTGAACATTGCACAGCTTTTTTTATTTTAAAGAATGTAGTGGGTAAAAGGGGTGTTACACTTTCAAGTCAAAGTTTGTCAGACATTTTCACCAAGAACAATGTGCGTACTCCTGTCATCTACTGGACTGTACATTGTGTCACAGTAAAAAAAGGGGGGGGGTTCAATCTACTTTGAAGCACCTCTAGTTTACACACTCAGGGTTGTCATTGCTATCATTGTGGCCCTTAATCTGTGGACAATCAGATGACATTTTATAACACATAATATTATATTTTCCACATCTTGTACATCTCGGCTTCTCCCTTCTTCAAACACTTTCTACATGACCAAAAGCTTTACAATGTTCACACTGCATTGTTCTTGGGATAAATGCTCTAACTCTGTAGTTAATATACCCTAACCGCACTTCATTAGGGAGAGACTCCATTTAAAAAAACAAAAGAACAGATAAACTCCTCACTTTTTCTCCATTCACCACTCGATTCATCCGATGTGCTTCAATCACTCCAGGAATATTTTTCATCTCTTCCAAATCAACTTACCACGAAACGCCAAATATAACCCACAAATCGATTAAGACAACGCAAGTTCCTTCTGTTCCGCAGAATCACAAAAAATCTAAACAAGCCCGCCTCGTGATCCTCACATCCTTCACTTTACCCAGCGCTCTCCCCAGCTTGGATAACTCAAATGGTTTCTTCAAGATTGGTACTCTGCTCAGCTACTCCTTATTAACAAACCGTACTCCTACTAGATACGAAGGGTAATTCTCATCACTGTACCCTACTTTGCTTCGTTTTCCATTCTTTTGAACAATACTCAAATTCTCCTTGATTCTACTGCCATTTTATTCAGATTCCACTTCATCATCCGCTTCCGCAATCTTCCGTGAAGCTGTCAAAAAAAAAAAAATATATATATATTCCTCCACTCCGCTCACGAACTCAAGCGCACCCTTCTTCTTCTTCTTCGATGAGGTTTAACGGCGGTTGGCATCCAATTTGTTGCATTACCGCCACCTACTAAACTGGAGTACAACTCCCTTATATTTTGCTTGAAAAATAAAATAAAGAAATACCCTACCATCTAACACTACACTCACAAATTCAAAAATATTATTAATAATTAACACCACCCTACTCCACTATTTAAATATATTCACGCTCTCAACCTGAAATGATGGGACATCACCACTTAACACTCCCTGTAACTCTTCTGATGTCAAGTCTCACACACCCAAATACCTCTCTGCAGCTGCCACCACACCCAAATACCTCTCTGCAGCTGCCACCACACCCAAATACCTCTCTGCAGCTGCCACCACAACCTCAATTTTCTTCGACTTACATTCCATCCCTGCAGTACAATTAATAACCATTGCTATAAATGCTAAAAATCCAATCTTACTGAAACATATCACTTGCTGGCCTATCCCTCTGTACTGGTCCATCTATACTACTCTCACCACTCCTCCCCATCTACTTTCTTCACTGCCTCAGCATATGACAACTTCTTCACTACTCTTACCCTGGAAACCTTAACCTGCCTCTCTCGCACGGGACATTTCTGATCCCCAGCCCCATGGCCACCCCTACAATTAGCACATACCACTACTTTCCCCAATGCTACACATTCCTTTGTCTCATGCCCTTCTGCACACTTCTCACACATTGGAACCTCCCTCCTACACACTGCTGCCACATGCCCATAAATTTGACACTAGACCACTTCTGGTTACCCTCACCGATTCCACTATACCCAACGCTTTTTTCACCCATCCTGAAACCACAAATGGATCAGCCAAAAGGCAAGGGTCCACTTTTTCCAAAAACGTCACTCCTACTGTCACAGACCCATCTTCATCCTGACCCTCTGTGCAAGCCTCGGGCTCCGAGTACTTCACCACACCTACCACCTCCGATACTTCACCCTCATTCACTTCCATTTCTCCTCCTGTCTTCAACTCACTTTGCTTACATTTTCTACCATTCTTCTTTAACAAATCTTCTCCCTTTTCCCCGCCATTTTTTTACCGACTCAAGCTCACAGTCTTCCTCCCTCTCTCTCTTAGACCTCCTCTGCCTCTCTTTTCCCCTCCATCATCCAAGTATATGTCTCCTTATGATAATACTGCACTTCTCCTGACAAACATCTTGTTCTTGCCCTCTCAAGGGACGCCATAATGTTTACATATCTTGCACTACTCATCTCATATGTATATACTGTATTCTATTCTATAATATTCTACTTTATCTTAGTCCATGCCGCTCTGTCATTGCTTGTCCATATATGTAAACATTCTTAAATTCCATTCCTTACTAGATTTATTTATTTTTATTTTATTTCACCTTTATTTAACCAGGTAAACCAGTTGAGAACAAGTTCTCATTTACAACTGCGACCTGGCCAAGATAAAGCAAAGCAGTGCGATAAAAAACAACAACACAGAGTTACATATGGGGTAAAACAAAACAAAGTCAAAAATACAACAGAAATACATATAATATACAGTGTGCAAATTTAGCAAGTTATGGAGGTAAGGCAATAAAATAGGCTATAGTGCAAAATAATTACAATTTAGTATTAACACTGGAATGATGTGCAAGAGATGATGTGCAAATAGAGATACTGGGGTACAAATGAGCAAAATAAATAACAATATAGGGATGAGGTAGTTGGGCGGGCTAATTTCAGATGGGCTGTGTACAGGTGCAGTGATCGGTAAGGTGCTCTGACAACTGATGCTTAAAGTTAGTGAGGGAGATAAGTGTCTCCAGCTTCAGAGATTTTTGCAATTTGTTCCAGTCATTGGCAGCAGAGAACTGGAAGGAATTGCGGCCAAAGGAGGTGTTGGCTTTGGGGATGACCAGTGAGATATACCCGCTGGAGCGCAGACTACGGGTGGGTGTTGCTATGGTGACCAATGAGCTAAGATAAGGCGGGGATTTGGTAAGGCGATAGATGTGTGTATTGGGTATATGTTGTCAAATTGTTAGATATTACTTGTTAGATATTACTGCACTGTCGGAGCTAGAAGCACAAGCATTTCGCTACACCCGCAATTACATCTGCTAAACACGTGTATGTGACCAATAAAATATGATGTGATTTGATTTAACCCGCTGTCACAATCTCCGCACAATCAGCACGAAACCCTCGGGATGTAGCGCTCAACAGTGCATCCCACTTGTAAAGCCATTGTCATTCATTTCCCAATCATTTTCACCTTAATTACAGGTATTCATTTTGTGACCCGGCAGTGCTTAGCTATGCCACGTTCATATACTAGTCGGAACTACGTAACTCGGAAATGTCAGACTTGCTTACTGGTTGTAGTTATACACGTGCCGCGTTCAATCAGCAAGTCGGATATTTCCGAGTTTTCTACTTGCGACTCGTACATGAACGCGGCATTTTTCTTGCTGACTTCATAGCGGTGTTTCTTCCGGGATCACCATCATTACTCGGCTACGGCGGTTCCCTTACTGGCAGCTAATTATTAACCTGTATTTAAACTGACCTGATTTAATACAATTCTCGACTGGACTACTGTTGGCCCGTCCGAAATATGAAGGGAATGAAACTGCACCTCATTTTGTTGCTGCTCTTCGCATCTTTGTTTTGTGCAGAGACGGCCAGAAGCCGGAAAGATTCCACCAACCAGAATAGTTTCAGAAGGGCGGCTAACGGATTCTACCAAATGTTAAGCAATATTTTTGGAGAGGACAACATCAGAGGTCTTTACAAGGTTAGTAATGGTTGATCAGCAAACCATATTTTCTGTCCAATTAAGCTACATGACAAAGAGGTGTCCAAAGAAATGGTGGTAGTAGCTAGCAGGCAGGAAGAGAGCTTGCTAACCAAGGGCGCCCAGACGTCATATTCGTAAATGGTTGCCATTTTGAAAATTGGCTTGCTTGCAAGATAAGATGGACAAGCCAATAAGTAATATATTTTGAGATATCATTTTTATGCTGCAGTACACATTTGCATGACTATTTATAGGTAGAAGAACCTGCGCTAAACTGACCCCATCTCTGGCCAGGCAGATGATGCAGACACAGCCTTCATGCACCTGACCTAGCTTAAATTATATCAGAGAGGAAGAGGGTTTACTCCGCCCAAAATCTGTCAACGTTAAGCAGATCATTAATTTTAAGCAAGAGGAGTTTTTGTATGGGGAGGAAATGAGTGTCGAATTTAGTAAAGATGAAAATGAATTGCTATTTTGATACGCGAGGCTTATTTTATCTAATATAAGTTTCGTAATGCTTAGGTTGTTACCAGGGGTGAAAGTAGATTTAATTGATTCCTGGTACTATGATTATGGTCCTAATCATAGAATTACGTAAAGAATCCCTATTAATTCAATAGGCTCTCTGTGGGCCTAGTCGTAAACTTTTAAAATGTATTACCTTTTATTGCGGCATAAACACAACCAGTCATGTTTTCATCAGATTGTCAAACAATTACCTCAAAGGGCTCCTTTACTAGGCTACCTGCGCACCATCATCCACTCGCGACATATTTCCAGCCTCCAAACAGTGGGGAATGGAGAATATTTTACACAAAACATCAAAAAGTGTAGGCCTAATGACATTTGGCGATTGTCATTAAAACAGAATTTATGCATCGCCTGCTGTCCGTGCGTCTCGGGGTGTCGTCCACTCATCTGCCTTGGCAACATTTCAGTGTTCTCTTGGAATCGCATCTCATTTTGGAACATAGGCTAGAGCACCCGTTTTCCATTCGCTAATCTTTCATGCCTCTGACATGTGGTAATGGTGTAATAGCTTACAGTTTCCTTGACATGTTGTCTTAATTAATGTGATAGGCTCATGTTTTACCAGTAGGCGACCCCCACGATTTCTTTTGGCCACTATTTATTTTGCCGGGACGCCTTACCGGACCTACCACTTTACTTTCACCGCTGGTTGTTACTAGTGTTTAATGATATAGATGTGATGCACGTGACATCCTGGCAATTAAAAAACACAATCTGAATTGACCCTGTTGAAATACGGGACTGTCTAACGTTATGCATATTCACGAGGCTAGGATAGCATCTCAATCTCCATTCAATACCGGCGGTTGACATCAAATTACGATATAAATATTTATTTATACACTAGATGACTGGTAGGGGGCGCTGTGTTGAAGCCACTTGACTCCCCCCACTGTTATATAAAAATATTTTGGAATCCATAGAAATGTGTTTATTAATGTCTACATTAGTTTTTGCCTCGTATGCTATTACAGACACCTTAATGCATACTTTAACATTATATTATGTGAGCTAAACACAAAAATGAAAAAAAATGTTTTAAACCATTTCCTTAAAGTGTATATATATTTTTTTAAAAGATGACTAATGTTACTGTCCCCACTACACCAAAACAATACTTGAATACATATAATTTTATCTTTGAAACATTTAATTTAAATACTGTATAAATCCAACACGAAGCAAAGTCTTTGGTCCAAACCTTCTGTATGTAAAATATTGTGTGCTATAGTTTGGAAAATAAATAAATAAATGTGACTCTAGATGACAACATAATTATGTTTGTTTCCAACATTAGGGCAGTTTGCCTAAAGAAGTAAAATTTGCTTTGTGTTTTTGTTTACATGCCACAACACAAACGAGGATCTTAGTGCATTTATCAGCCAAAACATAATATAATATTATCCAAAGTGACTTACTGCCATGCACGCATACATTTTACATATGGGTGGTCCCAGGAATCGAACCCACTACCCTGATGTTACAAGTGCCATGCTCTACCAACTGAGATAGAAAGGAGCACACGAGACAACCACCCTGTATTCAAGAGCATGTTGTGTCTCAACCGATGGCGGGCACAACAAAAGCCTTAGATGAAATATAGGGTCTAAACTACAATTTATGTAATTATGAAGAAAAAAATAGGAGTCAACACATTTTTAGATAATTGACGTTAAAGGTAAAACAATATATATATAAATAAAACAATGTTCTCCAGAAATTAGAAAATTGTTTGACAACCCTGTTTGTAAGCTTTCAAATGATATAAATCTCAACCGTTTATCTTTTCCAGTGATGAAGACATGGATGTCTCATGGTATGGTGGGGTATGCAAAATGGGTCAACTTTGAGCACCTCTTGAATGTTTTGGCATTCAGTTCCAAAAAGAACATTTACAATGGGCAAATATGTATGGAAGGTTTCGTTCAAATCAAAAGGGCTGCTGTCAAGAAGTGATTGAATTCAAATGTATTTCCCCTATATGTCACCTCTTGCTTACAGTTCTTCTCCAAGACGACAGAACGCTTTGTCCATGGTGTCGACTCTTTCCTGGACACTATTTGGAAGATATGGACAGATCTGTTGGATGTTATGGGCATTGATGGTAAGTCGATTTTTTTATTTAGTGGGTATGTTCAATGTCGGGACATGTCTGTGATATGTTGTAAATTATGACTGGGTCTGGGAGGTTAGGCTATCGTCTTCTGGTATCCATGTACAGTTCTATACTCTCTCTGTGACTGTCACTTATTCTCTCCCCAGCCTCCAACCTGAGTCACTACTTCAGCCCAACATCTTTGACCAACTCCCCGGCTCGTGCCCTGCTCCTAGTGGCCGCTGTGTTGGTGGCTTACTGGTTCCTCTCGCTGTTTCTGGGGGGATTCTTCTACCTGCTGCACGTCGTATTTGGCCGTTTCTTCTGGCTGGTCCGAGTTACACTCTTTGCCCTCTCTTGCCTGTACATCTTGCAGAAGTTTGAGGGGGACCCCGAGCGTGCTGTGCTCCCTCTCTGCTTCGTAATGGCTGTGTACTTCATGACGGGGCCTGTGGGGGCGTACTGGCGCAAAGGTGGCGGTACCGCCTCTCTGGAGGAGAAGATCAACCACCTGGACACCCAGATCCGCTTGCTCAACATCCGGCTGAGCAGGGTGATCGACAGCCTGGAGCGCGTCGGGGAGAAGTAGAGCTGGCCCCACGAACCCACCTCTGACAACGCCTGTATTCATAGGGTGGCTGGGGGTTTGGGTGTATAAGGGTTTGGGCAGGAAGATCTATGCAGATCGAGGCTTTCTGTTACGAGAAAGAGCTGTTTTTTTTATTTTATTTTTTTTTTTTTTTATATCCTGTCTTGTTGATATTTTGTTATATCGTGTAACAAGTGCTGATGGTTGCTCTTTTTGGAAATTGTGGTCAATGGAAAAAATGGGATGGATGTTTGTTTTGGGGACGTGATGGTGTCAAAGTGGGACCAGACACAATTGTAAGTATTTATATCCCAGTAAGCTCACTAGTTAGTAGACCAATGGCAGATTTATTTATTGCATTTTCTGTCCTGACCCTGAGATGTATAGTCAAAAATAATGTCACCATTCCATTGTAGCAGTAGTTAATTCCTAGCGTATTTCAGGACCTCTTTTTCTATATAATGGACATACTGTGTGTGTGTGTGTGTGTGTGTGTGTGCGCGCAAGCGTGTGTGGGTGTTTTTACGCATGTAAATCAACGGAAAAGCACTGGAAAAAGTTACGACTGGAGAAACCTGGGCTGGCATGAAAATCTCAGGGAGAAATTTTAAAAAAAAGAATACCAAGAAAAATAATGTAAATATACCCCACATCAATATCATCTTAACCCTTTACACTCTTGGGAATTGGCCTATATGGATAGGGCTAAATTGAAATGTTTCTAACAGAAGAAATATGAAAAGCATATGCATAATCATGGTAGCAATTGAAAGGGAACATTTTAGGAGATTATGGGAAAATTATTAGGCCGAAGTTGAGGACACAACAGTTCACCTGACACAAGACTGAATCCAAACATTACACTGTTGATTTTATATGCATTTTACATTTACTGTACTTTTCGCCTCATTTGTTGATAACGAAATCTGAAAATACTCTGGATACATTCAGTAACATTATAATAATATTCCTGAAAAATGTGGGGTAGGTGCAACATAAGACAAAAAAATGACAAGGGTTTTGAGTGAGAGGACTCACTGGTGTCTCCAAGTGGCCACACACCTCTCCAAATTGTGCACCGTTCCTAAGTAATTTAAATGCACTTTTATGACTTAAAGGCTGCGTTTACACAGGTAGCCCAATTCAATTTTTTTTCTCTCTCACTAATAGGTATTTTGACCAGAGAAACTGATCATAATTTTGGTGCGTATAGAGAGGATTCGTGCGTGGATTTATGTGCATGTTCTGCTGCAAATGTTCTTCATAATAGACAAACAGGCTCATTTTATTCAGAACAACCCAGGGTATGACGCCATGTCATCTTGGAACTGTACATCAAAACATAGTGATCGTAAACGTTGACACTGTATATATGAGTTTTATGATATGGAAATGTGAAGTGCACATTTGGACTCTCAGGTGTTTGGCTTGCTTGTATCACATCAAAGTGGTATTTATTATAATCCTCAACGTCTCATCTTTCAAATACATCGAGAACTCTTAATTTACAGTATTTCCCTCGTTCAAGACAACAAAACATTTGCAAAAGTTGCCCAATTAGGGGGAGGGATGGGGGCAACTTCCTGTCACATGAGGTGCTCAAGTTCAAAAACGGCTGTCAGTCAAAACCCATACAGAGCTGTGAAACACAGAGCCTGAGCTCTGATGTCGTTTTAAGCATGTTACTGTACAGCCACTGCGTTCCAATTTAGGCGCTTATCAGTGCCCAAATCTGCCATTTTCAACCCATATACAGGTATGAGTGTAAAGGCCTACTATGTTACAGTGACACTGAATTTGTTGCAAAACCACGTTTGAATCATGGACAGCCATCTGCAGAAGAATGGAAGGCCTGCCTTTATACCAGGCTTATCATCCACATTGAGATATGGGGGTTAATGTTGGAAATGCCATAATAAAGTATAGTTATAATGGAAGCGTATTAGTAGTTCCCATAAAAACGTAATTATATTTGCTGTGTGACAAGGCCTCTCTGCTTCAGTGGATCGCACATTATGCATGCCTAGACTATATCTGTACTACTATATCTGTACGTTTATAGGGCCTTAGTTTAAACTTTTGTGAGTAATTTCTTAAAAGGGAATTTCATCATTTAACTCTAACCTACTTGTGCTCTACTTTTGTGCTTTTATTATTATAATTATTATGTTATTATAATCCCATAGAAGTCCATTTTGTTGGGCGGGTGAATAGTGAGTGGTTTGGTTTAGTTGGTGCCAGTTCAAATGTTGTCATTGGCTACTGTACAATCCCTCCAGCCCCACCCCTCCAGAAGTTAACTTGTTGCCTACACACATTTAGTTTTGCTTATGTACTGTATACCGTATGTGTTTTTCTATAGCAAAATGTTACAATGTTGTATTTGTTAAAAAGCCAGTATTTTAACATGGTAAGTGTGGGAAATATTAAGAATTGAATGAATGAGTATTAAATGTGTATTGATTTATACAATAGGTCATCTTAGATCATTTAGCACTGACTCATGTACTGTAGACCAAAGCATGCGCTGTCTTTTCCATTCAACATATCATTCTGTCATCCATAGGTTCATTACAGCAGAGTGAAGACTTGAGTATTTACGACACTGTAAGATGTAGTCTGCTGCTGAGTTGTCATACAAATCCTCAAAAATATATAATTCTCAGCATTTATCTTTATTTCAGTTTTGAGAAAGGACTATTAGGCCTAATATTGTGAACCGTTAGGTGGAATGATGGTGCATGACGTCCCAACTCGTTATAGATTTCTCTCTCTCTAATGTCTCTTTGGTCTTGACACTGCAGCAGATTTACTCAGATCTTTACTACCCATCACCTTGATCATGTTGACACAGTAAATGACAGCAGAATGACTAGACTTAATGAACTCTCAGCCTCTCACTGTGTAGAGTTATAACAATGAGGATCAATAAGGACCATAATCATATTAATTCCAACTGAACATCCATTCTATTCCCGTTTCTGTTATGTACTCCACACGTGCTGTGCCAATATGAATGTTTTTGGTCTTTTATGTTTGAAGCACTTATCTTGTGAAACCTGAGTATAATACCAGGCTGGAATGCGGTTTTAACCAATCAGCATTCAGGATTAGACTACCCTGTAGTTTTTTTTGCATTTCCCTATTTGTTCTTATCCTGGTTTCCTATCTCTGTTTTCCTTTGTGGTGTGGGGGATGTTATTCTACCCTACTGCCTGCTGTTAAACTGTGATGTATTGAAAAGTGTTGTGGAAATGAATCTCCCAGAGGAGTCGTTCTGAAGTGAAATTGAGGTCCAAGATTTGAATAAATGAACTTTATCACCACATTAAGGCTTGCCTGTTTGCTTTGCATGAAGACCTAACACATAGGCAATTGAATATATAGTTTGAGTGACATGACCACTAAGTGCATGTTCTCTTCACTTTGTCTTTTTTTTTGCGTAATGAATGCTGAATAACTAGCAGGGTTGCTTTCCACACAAGTGTAGCTGATTTGAGAAGTACAGACAAACAGAGAATGAGTAAAGAGATGTCTTGCACGTCACATCATTGCTCAAAATTGACAGTGGCTATATTTCAAGTGATGTAATTGGGATGTGGACACACAGGAGTACGCTCACTCCTCCTGGCAATTGGCAGCTGGGGCCATGACAATGACCTTAGGCCACTGTTTCAGGAGCCTTTTCCAAACATTTACTTTGGCTCTGCCTTCGTTCATATTTCAGCCAGCCCCACATTTAGGCATTTTGGCATGGTGGAACAAGTATTTCACATCTTCCAAAGTCATGTACAAAGATCTTTCCCAATTGCTGCACTTCAAGCCAGCTTGTTTGTCTTACCACTGCATACGCTGAGTGGACAAAACATTAGGAACACCTTCCTAACATTGAGTTGCACCCCCTTTCGCCCTCAGAACAGCCTCAGTTCGTCAGGGCATGGACTCTACAAGGTGTTGAAAGTGTTCCACAGGGATGCTGGCCCATGTTGACTCCAATGCTTCCCACAGCTGTGTCAAGTTGGCTGGATGTCCTTTGGGTGGTAGACCATTCTTGATACACACATTACTGATACACATACGAAACTGTTGAGCTTGAAAAACCCAGCAGCGTTGCAGTTCTTGACACACTCAAAACGGTGTGCCTGGCACCTACCACCATACCCCGTTCAAAGGCACTAAAATATTTTGTCTTACCCATTCACCCTCTGAATGGCACACATACACAATCCATGTCTCAAGGCTTAACAATAATTTCCTTAACCTGTCTCCTCCCCTTCATCTACACTGATTGAAGTGGTTTTAACAGGTGACATCAATAAGGGATCATAGCTTTCACCTGGATTCACCTGGACGGTCTATGTCATGGAAAGAGCAAATGAGTGATAACCTCTCATCTACACATCCTTTTAGAGGAAGCTGGTGATGACATAGACATGTTAATGTGTAGAACTAGTCCACCCCCTCACTGTTAAAATGGAGAACTATCTAACACTGTATACTAGCATTGACAATCAAATGAGCTATGTGCTGAATAAAAAGTTGACAGTGTTCAGTGCTACTTTCACTGTAGCCGATGAGCAGGGTATGAGTACAGCATCTACACTGGGCTGGGTTCTTTTATTGTGGGTTTCAGAATCTGATATTAACCAACGTTGAGGTGGCAATGGATGATATCTGGCCGGCACTGGGCTTTATGTTGCTTGTCCATCAACTAGCTACACAGGTCTCAGTTCTAAGCCCAGGGCCTAGTGCATTTTCCTCCACTGGTAATCACACCATGACCTGGACAAGAGCAATACTATGGCATGTTGCGTTAGACACACTGATCTACAGGCTCCCTGTCATTTATCTTTCACAACACAAGCTCCCTCTCTCTCTCTGTTCACTTGCATCATCGCTCAGATCCATAATCAGACTTTGATTTGGCATTCAAGAGCAATGGAAATCCATCCGCTCAGCTCTTTTTTTTGGTAGGTGGACTGATACTTTAGAAATAATTATCTAGGTGTTTCAAAACTCTCTGGGTTTCAAAACTATTTTCTCTTACACTGTGAAACAACAAAGCAAATGTGTCTACCACATACTGTAGCAGACTGACAGTATCAAGATAAACAGTGAAAGTATGTATTGAATGTAAGCATTTGCTTTAGTTTATTTTATGAAAAAACACAACTGATCTTCTCTTTCACAGTTCCCGACAGTGAAAGTGACTGAGGAGGGGCATGACACGTAGCAATTTGATTGGGAACACCTCTAAAACGCTCTCTCGTTCTGCGAGATTTATTGGTGAATCCCCTCATTCGAGAGCTGTCACTGATCAAGATTGTATATTTCATTGGACATCCGTGCCGCCAGTCAACACGGTCGACACACCCTTTGCATACAACGACGTGTCTCGGCTGATGTGGAGCCAGCTTTTATTCGACCAATCAAGTTGCAGACAAACTGGTGGCGTGCCCCCGCGTGATATCATTCCGCTCGAACGTTCTGACCCCCAAAGATCACTTTCTTTTACATTTTACATATTTTTTTACCTTGAACATATTATGCAATTGCAACCATTCTACACAGTTAACAGCTTATTGTGATGATTTTATAGAAAGGTGTGCTTGTTTGCATTTAAAAAAACATGTATCAAAAAATTATTCATAACAATGGACAAGACCCGTTTATGCCCCAAGTGCATGTTTTTGTGAAAGAGATGAGGCTGAGGTGCAACAGTTTAAGCAGGGCTTGCACCAAACCCCATGGTCAGGGGTCTGCACAATACCATCTGTGCCAAAAAGGTCCAGACCTAATGGCAGAGGCCTCAGTGCACATGCCACACATGCAGGGAGGCCAGAGAGGTTCGGGGAACCAACATGTATCTCTCTCAAGAAGCAGCCTGCCATTAAAACCCCTTTGGAACAGTGGGTCACTAATTCTGATGAGAAACCACAGGGACACCGTCCCTTGCCACCAGTGTAACGATTGAGAGAAATTACTTTTGTAATGCATTTACTCATATTCTTTACAGTTTGTATGTAATAATCATGCACAATCCGAGGATATTGTTAAGATATCACACTGGTTTACCACTAAATTGATTTATTATGGGGGAAATAGATGGCACTGTATTAGTCAACATTGCGTCTTTTTTAAGCGGAAGGATACTATGGGTTGTTGTGACAGCCGCGTCACCTCACGGTGGGAGGGAACTTTACTGGGTTTATCATTGCAGGTTGTCCGCATGGAATGAGAGTCCAGGCTGGCCAGCTGTCTCAGTCATACTTGAAGTGTGCTGCCTGTTTTAGCTACAGTAGCTAGCTAGCTATAAAGAACGACAGACTCATGTTTAACGGAGGCGACAAGGCAACAACAATGTCCAAAGACGCCGAACGGATGAGCGAGAAGATAATGGAGTCGAAGGTATTATGGTACCCAGACTCAAAGAAGAACACACAGATGGACAGATTCAGGACACAGGTGAACCGAGACTTTGGTCTTAATCTGGGTGAGTGATCCGTGAGGGAACAGCTTTTCAGACGGGGACAGTCATGCTAGTCTCCTCTAATTTAACTTTATACATTCGTACCAATCGATTATTTTGGCTAGAGAGAGTCAACACAATGCATAATTAGCTAATGTAGCTACGTGCATATGCATAATATTGCTACATGTTAGTCTAAGTACTGTAGTTGCTCGTCAATGGAGCTGTCCTAGAGGGAAATCGATTTGAACCATTTCCTTGTTTGACCGCTAAGTTTGATGGGTATTATGAGTCATACTGTGGTACTCTATGGTTATTGAACCAAGCATGCCATGACAATGGTATATTCTGAATCAGGGGAGGATGGCGAACAATCAACACCTTCATTTGTGTGAATTTTAGGCTTTTTAGAAGATTGAAATCTGAATAAATTGTACCATTTTGTTTTGCTTGGTTCAATAGCTAACAAACTTTACCTAGGTGCAAAACCAAACCAAACCATATACAAAGTTGGGTAAACAATACTTTCCTGTGCATATTTTGTAAAAAATAATTCCAGCAGCTGAAGGACAAACCTCATGATTGTGGTTTCTCTGATCTCATTCCCCTTGCAGCCAACTACAATGACCTGTACCAGTGGTCTGTGGAGAGCTACCCTGAGTTCTGGGCTGAGGTGTGGCGTTTCTGTGGGGTAGTAAGCTCCAGGATGTATGGGGAGGTGTGTCTACCCACCTTTTCCCGGTGTCTATGTACATAACATTGCATAAGTGAATAGGGGCATCCCAAGTGGCACCCTAATCCCTATATAGTGCACTTCTTTTGACCAGGGGTCCATAGGGCTCTGACAGCTGTTTGGGACACAACATATTGCCTTTTATTGTGTTCTTTCATCCATCTAGTGAAGGAACACCTTCTACAATGTGATCTCTCGCAATTTGTGATTTCAAAGTGTTACAAAATACATAGATGAAAATACAATGCTATAGGCCTACTAATGCTATATAGGCCTACTAATGCTATAGGCCTACTAATGCTATAGGCCTACTAATGCTATATAGGCCTACTAAGTTATGATTGGTAGAGTTTAGAAAGTTATTTGTGTAGCTAATCTATTGGCCCCTCATCAATCAGTTACTGCAGAGCAGTATTACATTGTAGTCGTTATTCCCTTACCCCGGGTTTGAATCATGTAGAACACGAGTCCTTTCCTCCCTCTTCCTCAGGTGGTGGATATCTCCAAGAGGATATCGGACATCCCAGAGTGGTTCAAAGGAAGCCGCATGAACTATGCCGAAAACCTGCTAAAGCACAAAGACCAGGACAAGGTGGCTCTCTATGCAGCTAGTAAGTACGGCTGAGGCAATTTACTCAATTTATTAGGCTTTTTTTTTTTTACAAGTTCCCATTCATCTGCAGTTGAGTAAATGTCCTAAATCAGCATCAGCACCCTGTGCTCCCGGCCATGTTTTTATACTACAATTATTGTGCTTTAAAACAAATAATGTATTATATATATTTATAGCTAGCGCTCCTAGTATGAAATAAAGGGTCACAATGATATTCTAATGGTCATTCTAATTCTGGCTTAATTCCCTCTGGGGCCACGCAGACTGTACATTCCCTCTGGGGCCACGCAGACTGTACATTCCCTCTGGGGCCACGCAGACTGTACATTCCCTCTGGGGCCACGCAGACTGTACATTCCCTCTGGGGCCACGCAGACTGTACATTCCCTCTGGGGCCACGCAGACTGCTTTGGATAAAAACATCTGCTAATTGCTTTGGATAAAAACATCTGCTAAATGGCATATCTTATCCATATAGATACTTACTGAAGCACTGAGAGATAATTCCAAAGGTCACCTTGCATTTCTTGACAACCCTGTCCAAAATAGTACCGGGAGTGCTGCTGTTTTATTTCCCCCGATAAGCTCTCCTAATTCAACATGTCTTTGGCTGACGTCGGATCGATACGGTATGCAGGGCAGTGTGATTTGATTAGGAGCCACAGGGATTTCAGGCTCCTGCTTGCTCGTTGGGTTCTTATATCCTAATGGGTATCCTCTTGTTATCATTCGGTGCGGTCGTTACCCCCCCATCACCGACCTCCTGTAAGTTAATTACTCAGATGGCACTGCACTGCTACTTACTGTGTCCTGTATCAGCCCTGTACATCAGAACAGGTTCCTGTATCAGCCCTGTATGTCAGAACAGGTTCCTGTATCAGCCCTGTACGTCAGAACAGTTTCCTGTGTCAGCCCTGTATGTCAGAACAGGTTATTACTTGGATAGCTTTGCAGACACTAACTATAGTCCTATTTACATGGGACTAGTATTACTAGGTTATGTAATTATTACCCCAGAATGCCCGTTATTCCAGAGGAGGATTTGGACGGGATTCGTATTTTTCCAAACTCCGTCGCCTACAACTCATTTTGTTTTTTTCAATAAATTGACACTTATGACTCTAGGCGATAACAGGCCACACTGGTTACTCGAGTTTGGCTCCCAAGTTTCTAAACCAAACCAAACCGTCTTTGGTATAGTGTCACCATAATATTTGGATTGAGGAAGTGTAACCATAATCATTAGGATATTTACGCGATCCGCAGTAGAAGACTATTGGCTATGCGCAGCACTTTGTTTTAAGCATCAAATTATCAAATCCGTTACTGTTTTCTTGCTGAAACCGCGAGAAACACCTGTCAAACTCAGACATTTCTCTCAATTTGCACGGGACTAGTATTATCAGAAGACCTTGGAGTTAGTCGATTCGGACGGGATTTAATTTACTGATGTGGTGTTTTGTGTTCATGCACACAATTACATAACCCCATCTCCCCCGGTAAAACTAATCCTGTGCGAATAGGGCTTTCGTCTCTGTTTCTGTCCATCTCTCATTTTCTTACTCTCCTCTCTCGCTCTCTCTCTCTCTTTCTCCTCTCTCTCTCTCTCTCTCTCTCAGCCGAGGCGAATGACGAGATCACCAAGGTGACGTTCGGGGAGCTGAGGCGCGATGTGGCGCTGTTCGCCGCCGCCATGAGGAAGATGGGCGTCGAGACGGGCGACAGAGTCGTGGGTGAGTCACCATGCAGCATTACTCCCAAACCCCTACTCTGTCAGACAGTGTGACAGTCCTGCTAGAAACATGCGCACCAACGGACAAAGTCAGTCCGACTTCTTGTCAAGGACTAGGCCCTGCGTCTGAATTGACACCCTATTCCCTACGCCTAGTCCGCTACTTTTGACCAGGGTCCATAGGGAGAGTCCTGCCATCATCTCCCCCTTCTCCCTCTGTAGAGTCCTACCATCATCTCCCCCTTCTCCCTCTGTAGAGTCCTACCATCATCTCCCCCTTCTCCCTCTGTAGAGTCCTACCATCATCTCCCACTTCTCCCTCTGTAGAGTCCTACCATCATCTCCCACTTCTCCCTCTGTAGAGTCCTACCATCATCTCCCACTTCTCCCTCTGTAGAGTCCTACCATCATCTCCCACTTCTCCCTCTGTAGAGCCCTACCATCATCTCCCCCTTCTCCCTCTGTAGAGTCCTACCATCATCTCCCCCTTCTCCCTCTGTAGAGTCCTACCATCATCTCCCCCTTCTCCCTCTGTAGAGTCCTACCATCATCTCCCCCTTCTCCCTCTGTAGAGTCCTACCATCATCTCCCCCTTCTCCCTCTGTAGAGTCCTACCATCATCTTCTCCCTCTGTAGAGTCCTACCATCATCTTCTCCCTCTGTAGAGTCCTACCATCATCTTCTCCCTCTGTAGAGTCCTACCATCATCTTCTCCCTCTGTAGTGTCCTACCATCATCTCCCCCTTCTCCCTCTGTAGAGTCCTACCATCATCTCCCACTTCTCCCTCACTCTTGGCCCCCTGCACGGAGCTTGTCATACCTTCTCTTCTGCAATTGGTCAAGGAACACCCCAGCCTGCTGTATCCTGCCCTGTGATTGGTGCAGATTTTAACCTCCCCACGGGCCTCTGTCTGTATAGAGGCCTGTGTTGGCATGGGGCGACTGAAGCAAATTCTAAATGGCCCTATTCATTCATTCATTCATCCCTACTCCCCACCCCAGTAGAACGCTGTGATATAATGCAGGTAGCCTAACATGTTTTCACCCGACTAGTTGATCCAAAACGGCATGTTTTTGTATGGGAATCAAACCCAGTATCCTGGTGTTGCAAGCCCCATGCTGTACCAACTGAGGCAGACAGGACCAGCTTCCCTCTCCACAAGACACTAGTATTTATTGAAGAAGTTGCTTCCAAGAATAGTACTTGTATTCAGTCAATCCAATCCTGTTTGCTGCGCTGCGTACCCAGGAATATACACACACACCCCACTGGCGTCCCGGACACACCAGCAGCCCCTGCAAGGGGGGGGGGGGGGGGGGGGTGCCATGCACCTGTCATCAATGTCTATTTGATTTATTTAATAAATAAAAAATCATTCATAAACCGTTTTAATTTCCATATGTACCAGGAAGCTAAGGGTTTGTTTCTTGGGCTTCAGGCATGTGTCTGATCAAAGTGCCTCAGGCCTTATAATTGAAAGTAAGGGGATATCGGTGGACAAATGCCGTGGTCAAGGCTACGAAGGCACCAGTGTTCAAAAGCTCATATCAGACCGAGAACCTTCTTGGGTAGTTATGAGTTTTAGTTTAGAAAACGATCTCTTCGCAGAAGTGACAGTTACAGGGATAGTTAAAAACAGCTTGATTGCCGTAGCAACATCAGGGAAACTGGCCAGAATGGAGGTGTGCTTCAAATACAGCAGTTCTGTAACATCTTTAATTGAGCCTCTCATTCTCCTTAACTGCCTCAACACGTTACGGAAAGAGATTCACTGTATAAGAAGCTCTGAGACAGGTCATCTGGATACTGGACAGTCAATAAAATGACCGATGCAAACAGATCATATTTAGTGGACAACAGTTCTTGAGGGCTCAAAAAAAATGATTTTCTTCATACTTGTGAACCGGCGTTTGAGTTGTGTGGTTGCAATATCAACAGTCCCTTATCTGTTGTATATCTTGGCATGCATCACTCAAGATGCATGGTTCTCTGTAGCTCAATTGGTAGAGGATGGCGCTTGTAACGCCAGGGTAGTGGGTTCGATCTCCGGGACCACCCATACGTAAAAATGTATGCACACATGACTGTAAGTCGCTTTGGATAAAAGCGTCTGCTAAATGGCTTATTATTATTATTATAATAATTATAATATGTTTTTAAATTGTGTGTAGCAACCTGGCTGTGGTGAAAACATTTGCACGCAAAAATGTAAGGCGATGCAGTAGCATACTGCAGCTACTATTTTTTTAAAAGAGGGACAAGCACAGACACAGAGACCTTTATGGAAGAGAAGGAAAGAGACAGAGAAGCAGCCAGGAGGACTTCAGGAGACCAGGGGAGTCTCAAGTTGGGTTTAATTTTAATTTACCTTGATTGCAGCCCATTTGTGTCTGCTATTAGACAGACAACCTGCTGAGTTCAACCATAAATAGTGGCTAAATTTATCCTCAAGCCGACTACTTTTTTTCCCGTAATTGTTAGGCTATTTGATGTGTAATTTTTATTAAAGTTTATAAATAGCAGCTAAAAACGGCATATCTTTAGATAGTAGGCTACACTGCATAATGAAACAATCCTGAGTAAGCTGGTGTTTTGAGGGTGGACTGACTGTAATATTTGGCATTAATAGACTGGTTTTACGCACAACAACTTTCTATCCAAGCTGGGAGAGAGCGTGAGGACGGCTCATGTCATGCAGGGTCTAGCTGGGCTATACACACACATACAGTTGAAGTCAGAAGTTTACATACACTTAGGTTGGAGACATTTAAAACTTGTTTTTCAACCACTCCACAAATATTTTGTTAACAAACTATAGTTTTGGCAAGTCGGTTAGGACATCTACTTTGTGCATGACACAAGTAATTTTTTCAACAATTGTTTACAGACAGATTATTTCACTTTTAATTCACTGTACCACAATTCCAGTGGGTCAGAAGTTTACATACACTAAGTTGACTGTGCCTTTTTAAATAGCTTGGAAAATTCCAGAAAATTATGTCATGGCTTCTGATAGGCTAATTGACATCATTTGAGTCAATATAGAGTTGTACCTGTGGATGTATTTCCAGGCCTACCTTCAAACTCAGTGCCTCTTTGCTTGACATCATGGGAAAATCAAAAGAAATCAGCCAAGACCTCAGAAAAAGAATTGTAGACCTCCACAAGTCTGGTTCATCCTTGGGAGCAATTTCCAAACGCCTGAAGGTACCACGTTCATCTGTACAAACAATAGTATGCAAGTATAAACACCATGGGACCACG